CGTCTAGTAGTCTCTTAGCCACTTTGTCATTTTTAAGATGCATAAAAGCTTCAGACGTTAGCTTATTTTGGGAAACAAAAAAAAACGAATAAAAAAAACTGTGGATTTCCAGACGAGGGAGTCTGGACTTATTTTGGGATTAGGACCTGCACCAACTTATTTAAATTTGATTCAGACATTTTCACTTTTACTAATGACTTTACTCTTTTGTTTTTCTTTTGCGGTGCAGTCTGGGACAACCAAATGCATAGTGGCATTTTGAAGTATAGTTTATTTACACACAACATACTCAAGCACAGTTTAAGATGCATGTACAGTTGGCATATACAACAGTATATGCCACTCAAATGCCATATAGGCCTTTCTTATTTTTCAGTTGCTTTGTGTCTGTCTGCATATCTGTCTACGTCTTTCATTCGTCCTTGTCACTTCCAGAGTTGCTGTATAACTTGAAAAATATCCACACACTGCAAAATATCTCAGGAAAGTGCTGAAGGGAAATCTGCTCCCTGTATTACAATTAACCGGGATAATGGCTTTCTCACAGTTGCTCTTTAGGAGATTTCATAATTCATTGCAGAGCTTTTAGTCAGAGAATTATTTAGACTTTCCTCAGTCTGAAAAACTTCTATGACCAAAAGCTTGGCAATTCAATTTGAAATCTGCGATGTGAGAAACTTTGCCAGCCCCTCTATTCTTTTTAATTGTACCATTCAGAGTTGTGGGACACTCATGAATGAATTATAGCAGCACCTCAGGATATGGAACCGACTGCTGGAAAACGATGGATGCTCGTAACTGACTTATTAACTATTTATGTTTTGAATGGGAGCGTGTGATGTGACGGTGAAAGGGATGAGGAAATAAATAAGAGCAGAATGCATTAGACATGACAGGATGATATGTTGTTTGCATCATTAGCAGGATGTAATGAAGTCGGGGTATTTAGGTAATGCATGCCTGGCATTTTGGCGACCTTCTGCAACACGGGAACACAAGAGGAAGACACGCATCCAGGAGCAATGAGCAGTGAGCACAGCTGCAGAATGAGAGTCATTCAACTATTTGCATCTGTAATTTGCCAAGAAAGCTGTCTCTGGAACATCTTCTGATGTTCATGTGGGTGTGTGCTGGGTCCGGTCATTGTATTTGAACACACCAGGGACATGCGTGTAGTATGTCTATACCAGATGAACAGTAGGACGAGGTTGTTATAATGTCTGCCTTTGAAGCCACTTCCCAGAGGTTAGACGACCCTTTTACTATTCCACCTGCAGTAGCCGCTGTGCTATTTTCAGGAGAATGGTTTCATGGTGCCAGGACTTCTCTCATCCTCACTTCTGTCAATTCTGTGTCCTTGAGTGCCCACATTGTCAGCTCCGCGGCTGTCTGTTCTCTCTATGTCTGTTTCTTTTCATAACGTAGCCATGGAGATGTAGAGCTGTCTCCCCATAGGACACACTCGCACACTCGCACACAGATTCACCAAGGGAATCACTGACTAGATTAGGTGTGTGTGTGTGTGTGTGTGTGTGTGTGTGTGTGTGTGTGTGTGTGTGTGTGTGTGTGTGTGTGTGTGTGTGTGTGTGTGTGTGTGTGTGTGTGTGTGTGTGTGTGTTGTGTGTGTGTGTGTGTGTGTGTGTGTGTTGTGTGTGTGGTGTGTGTGTGTGTGTGTGTGTGTGTGTGTGTGTGTGTGTGTGTGTGTGTGTGTGTGTGTGTGTGTGTGTGTGTGTGTGTGTGTGTGTGTGTGTGTGTGGTGGTGTGTGTGTGTGTGTGTGGTTGTGTGTGTGTGGTTGAGGGATTGTCATCCTTGAACCAACTAGCCCAAACCAAGAGCATAATAGTTGGAGTGCCTTCAGAGAAAGAGAGAGCTGACAAGGAGGAGACAGTGCGGAGGTCTTCCTCATTTGTACTGGAGTCCTCCTCTCTCCATACAACCAGCTGACAGGGTATATTTTTATCAGCCTGGAACAGACTGTGCAGAAAAGGGAAAAAAAATCATTTGTGAAGGCGCAATCCCAGCCAAGGACAAGATCTCAGCGGGATAGTGCTTCGCTGTATTTCTGCATTATCAGAATAGAAATCATTCATAGTTGTTTATGCAGCTGCCACTATCCCACACAAGACCTTCCTCACTTTGTGTCCAATGAGACCGAAAACAGAAAATACAAATAAACGTGTATTCTTCGTGAGCATCTTGTTTTATTGTCTTTCCTGGAAGCAGGGGCGGGCTGGGACTAAAAATCAGCCCGGGGCTCTCGACCGGCCCACTTCGGTAACGCCGGCCCACCTCGGTACCGCAAGTAGATACCGCTAGTGTCAACGGGGGGTGCTAGTGACTGATCTGACCGGCCCACCACGGTACCGCTAGTAAATTGCAAACGGGGGGTGTTGTACAATGCTAGTGACTTATCCGACCGGCCCACATCGTCCGACCGGCCCACTTCAGTACCGGCCCATCGGGATTCGTCCCGAACGTCCCGGTGGCCAGTCCGCCTCTGCCTGGCAGCCAGTGGGGTTAGAAGTTATAACTCTGTTGTTCAAATATGAAGACTTTACCTTAGTTAGTTAATAAATATATAAATAAATATCTTTAATACTTTGTTTTATTGGCTTTTTTCATTAAACAGATGCTCTTTGTACAGAACTCATAATTGTACATACAGTATGAAATCACAACAGAAAAAAAAGATAAAACATGAATTTAACTGAAATACAAAATGAAAGAAAAAAGTAAATGGAAAAACTCAAATCTAAGCAGAAATATACTGTATATTAAAGTTACATTAAAGCTGATAACAAAGCAATGGCTGATGCAGTCCATATTTCATCATAGGTCGAACGAAACAGAGGGTTGATTTCACAAATGTACATTCATACACGCTTACATACACCTGTTCATATACTTGCCTCTGTGTGTAAGCATTCACTGGAGTAAAAGAAAAAAGTGAGTTAATATATACCGGTTCGATGGAGGGTACGTCTTTTGCTCTGAACCCAATTACAGTTAAGGCATGACACAGCTTAAATGTGCGTGAGAGCGAGCGAGGCAGAGTGGGAGCATGAATAAACCATGTCCTAAAGTGGTGTCACTGGGCTGCTGTGTTGGCATGTCGGCACCGCTCAGAAAACATGGCCGTCTCTGGAGCATTGTCTGTAATCCAGCATGTCAGAACAGCTAGATGGCTCCTTTATGTAAGCAGTCTCTGAGTCTCAGACATCATCTGATATGCATACAGCAGATAAATAAATACATTTTCCAGCAGTATAAGTATTTTAAGATGATTATGAATAGCATTAGAACAAGCTAATCCATTCTTACAAAGGGCTCATGCTTCCGATTGGCTTGAATGACAGTACTTTCCTTTTTGCTCAAGGATTAGCATTGAATGCACCTGCACGATAAAACAGGACATTTTTCGATATCCTCAAATGCCATGCAAATCCCATCGCGCTGAATACTTTGTTTCGCATCTGCATTGAGACTGTCATGGCCAGAGAAATGCTGTTAGATGTTTTCTCTTTAAGCACCATTTCTTTGCAGCGACACAAATATCATAGTGTGCCAAGCTGACAGGGAGATGATCCATTGCAGACGTCGTAATTGAAAACACTGAGAGGGGTTGGACAATTAATCTCTTTCTCTCTGTGTCAAATTTCCATGGAGAAATACCTCGAAATGCAGATAATAGATAAGAGTGTTATTGATTAGATGGGGTGGGTGGAGAGGCGAGGAGGTGCAGAGGTTCTCCATCACTAATCTCTCTGGCTGTGACTGCATCTAAATAACCTGCAGAGAGGGATAAACAGGCGCATCCATCATGGCACGGCTGGTGCGGACAGTGATGGATGCCTCCGCCCTCTGCCACCCTCCGCCAAACCCTCTCCTCCTGGTCGGGGATAGGAAGTGACACCGGCACTCGGGGGAAATACCTGGCTCAAACTGGGCAGGAACATGCCTATAATTTCTCTTTGGTGTGTCTCTTTGTGAGTTTGTACAATTGCCGCCTGTCCTCCTACCCCTTGTCTCTTTGAGTTTGTAGGATTATCCGTCTTGATAGATTCTGTTTGTTTTGTCAAAGCGGAAATTGCTTTTGTGGATTTGTGTGAAAGTGTGCTTGTGTGTGAACTCACCCATATATATGCCTTTTGTGGATAAATTGATTTGGGTGAGGGACGGTTTCCTCTCTATCCTCAAGCCCGTGCAGCGTGAGCCAAATCCCCTGTGCTGCCTGGACCCAGTGAGTCGCCTCTGAGGTGCCAGCCTGATAGATATGGTGTGTGTGTGTGTGTGTGTGTGTGTGTGTGTGTGTGTGTGTGTGTGTGTGTGTGTGTGTGTGTGTGTGTGTGTGTGTGTGTGTGTGTGTGTGTGTGTGTGTGTGTGTGTGTGTGTGTGTGTGTGTGTGTGTGTGTGTGTGTGTGTGTGTGTGTGTGTGTGTGCCAGGTTGTGCCTTCCCTCCCCACCCTTGCAGCATTAAGATTGATCCCTCGTTCCCTCCCATTCCTTTCTCTCTCACTCTGTGTGCCTCTGCCTTTATGAGACTGTGAATAGGTGAAGCTCACTGGCTCCAACAGATGGCCGGAGCTACCCTGTTACACTGTCTCTCTCTCTCTCACACACACACACACACACACACACACACACACACACACACACACACACACACACACACACACTACTGCCCCGTGAATCAGAGCCTAGAGAGAAAGAGAGGAAGAGGTAAATGTGGCAAAGCAAGAGAGAAGGAACAGGAAACAACACAGTTAGTGGGTCGGTGAGGAACAACACACAGGGAGGAGGATGGAAAAGGAGAAGGAGCGATAGACAGCGGGAATTAACTAAAAGAGGAGAGAACACATGCTGGAAAAGGGAGTGAGAGCATTGTAGATTGAGGGAGCCTTTCTCCTCCCTCTTTCCCTCCCTCTTTTATTTATCTCATGTGAAACCACACCTCCCTCTTTTCACTTGTCAGTGCATCTATAACAGTGAGCTGTCTGCGCCGGGCTGCATGGGGGGTGAGACGAGCTCCTCACTCTGCCAGCACACACTCCGCATCTGAGCGGACCGGACTGGACTGGATGCTACTGGACTGACCAGAGCAGGTGTGTGTATTTGTGTGTGTGTGTGTGTGTGTGTGTGTGTGTGTGTGTGTGTGTGTGTGTGTGTGTGTGTGGTGTGTGTGTGTGTGTGTGTGTGTGTGTGTGTGTGTGTGTGTGTGTGTGTGTGTGTGTGTGTGTGTGTGTGTGTGTGTGTGTGTGTGTGTGTGTGTGTGTGTGTGTGTGTGTGTGTGTGTGTGTGTGTGTGTGTGTGTGGTGTGTGTGTGTGTGTGTGTTGGCGATAGATGTCAGAGAGCAGCTTGTGTAGCCCTCAGTGTGTGAGCGCTTGTTCCTCCGCAGGACTTGCTTCCAGAGTAGCATATCTAGAGGGTACAGGGCTGAAGCTTTGCCCTAGTTTACACTTGAATGCTCCTATCCTTTCTGTTCGCCTCTGAGATTTATGCATGGAGTCCCTAACGGCGCTCCTCATAAGGGTTAAATAAATATGCTGAGATCAGATGCACTGGACTCTTTAAAGGAGTATCTGGCTTTGAGTCAGAGCAGTGTGGACAGAAGCTGCTCTATATCTGGTGGAACAAGTTGGTAGTTTTAGGCTGGACTCTGTCGACATGTGCTGTGTCGCCATTAGTTTTTTTTCCTGACTTATAAAGGGTGTTTGCGTTTGTACACAGTAGCATCCTTTAGTGGGGCATTACATTACATTGTGTTCAAACTCCATTTTCTGAAAGTAGTCAGTGCAGATTTCACAGCTCTTAGGTCCGTGTGGTGTTGAATCCAATGTGTGATTAGTTCTCTTTGTCTTCCTGTTTCACAGCCTGTGGTGTTTTGAAATATGGAACATTCATTGTCTCAGCATTGCTTTGTATTTACTCAGCCGAATATAATCCTTACTGTTGCTGAATATTTGTGTCGGTTTAAAATAAGAGCAACAACAGAAACGGTGAAAATATTACTTTTTGAAAGGCAGGACCGTCTCAGTTTTGGATTTTGTACCTTAAGAGCACCTTAACGTAGAGATCCAAGAGCAATCCGGCACACAGCGTTCATTCAGGAGTCGCCATTTCAACAGCTGCTATACTGTAGAGCCGGCACGGCTTTAGCCTATGAAGCCAAGTCAATGTACTCACTATCAGTGTTTTGTCAATCTCTTTATGGGTCAAAAGGCTGTGTCATCACCAAGCGGCTGTTAAGAGCAGCAGAGCGGATGAAGGGGGGCGAAAACTGACCTACAGGCTAAAATATTTATGATGGAGACAGCTGAACGCCCCTTGCTGTTTGTAGCGATATGGCTGGATGGATGAAAGAATGCAAAGATGGAGGGATGGGTGGAAAGTAAAGAAGAGATTCAGAGATATGTTCTTTAAGCATTCATTATTTATCACAGCGCACTCTGCCATGAAGCTCTAACCCCCACATCAACTGGCCTATTTTCTCACTGAGATGCCAGTGGACTGGAGGAAGATGCACCTGCTTAGTCTACCTGTCAGCCAGTCCCAGGGCATGTGGAGACTGCAGCCGCATGTTACACACACACACACACACACACCACACACACACCACACACACACACACACACACACACACACACACACACACACACACACACACACACACACACACACACACACACACACACACACACACACACACACTCATACACACGCTTACAACCACATGCGCACACCCATATCTAAATAATGTTTTGATTTATATTCAGACAGTAAGCCTAAATGCATGGTTACCGTCACTAATGTATTGGGAAGTGCACCAAAATCACAGTCACTTATTTCCACTGCATTAACCAAAAATACAATTGGTGCACTCACCCTGCATGAATGTATGCTCAACACACACACACACACACACACATACATACACACCCTTATTACAGCTTTTAACCATTTTATTTCTCCCGCATCTTTTTTTCAATCTTGTTCACAGACTCTTTCTGACACACACACAAACCACACACACACACAATCCTTGGGAGTGACGACCTTGAGACCTGTTGATGTTGTTTCCAGCAGCCGTGCATGGAATACATTAGAGGCCATGTGGGACTCGAAAATGGGGCGCTTGACATTCCGTTTGTAAAAAGAAATGGCTGGAAAATGTGCATGAGGGCTGGCGAGGGAGACGGAGGGAGACCATGAATATGTATTGTATGCTAATGCCGCACGCCGAAGCTGTTGACTCAAGCTGTTGATGAAAGTAGAGGACATGTTCCCCCATCGCCACTCTCACGAGGAAGTGCTATCGACAAAGCCATTGTCGACGCATTTCTGGCCGCGGGGGCAGCAGCGCGGTGACAGGTGGCAGATATCGGTGACAGCAGCAGCCAAGGTGACGCGGCTCTATGCTCCCCTCACCGCCGCCTTGACCTTTTGTGGTTAGACACAGCGAGGTTGGTCCAGAGGGCCCTGCAGCTAATGTCTCCCATTCGCATCATTCAGCCCCTTTCAGAGCTGCTTCCTCCACCTGCTCCCCTCCTCTATTGATTCACATTTTTTATTTAACGATAACAAATAACAGCAGACTAAGAAAGACTGAAATCGTACTGACGATATTTTTTTTTCTTTCGGTAGAATAGTTGGCACACTGAAAAAGAGAAGATCCCATAAAAGCTGACAGAAAGAGATATTTCAATACGTCTTGACTTAATCGTATTGCATATCATTCTGCCAAATACCCTCACAAGTCTTTACTCCAAAAATAAAGACAGCTGAGTTTCCGGGGTGTTCATACGTTATATGTCCCTGGTTAAAAAAAACACGAAAAGGCCTCTTAGCAACAATTAAATACTGTCATTTATCAGCGTTTCTGGTGCATGATTAATGTAATTTTGCTGCTTCAATAGATATCTATATTGAAATGCGTTCTCATACATTAAGTAAGTAGTCACACACTAATCCAGATTACATTTATTCATGCATTTTATCTTAAAACTTGGGAACATAACTCCGACACATTAGAAGTATCCTGACAGTGGGTAGAACTGGCATGCTGAGTCCCTGTTCATCTGTATGTATGAGCTGCTTTTAACAGGTCCTGCGATGAGACGGCATCAGAGATCAGTGTGTAAATCTCGCTGCTGCTGCTGCTCCTCTCAGCTCTAATGATAGCGAGGCACAGGGGCGCTTTGACTACACCTATCAAACACTCCTCTCAACAGTGCGGAGAGCGCAGAGCAGGTTACGGCTGATAGGAGCAAATAAGGAGAAGCACGTTGCCAGGTGTTTAGAAGTGCATGTGATTCTGTGTGTGTGTGTTTGTATGTCCTGTTTCTCTGTGCACAGTGTGATCCCCACGCGTGGACAGCTATTGGACTGCGGTGTGCGAGTGCAATCAGATTTCAATCTCTTCCCTCTATACGTCTGAGCTGAAGCAGCGGAGGTGCCCCATGGGGAAATGTAATTATACCCTGCAGGCCACAGAGTACAGGCTTCACTGCCCCATCCGTCTCAGGAGATACGGCGGATAAAGGCCTATTCTCACTTGCAATACCAAACGGCAGAGATGTCACTAAAGCCCTTCTATATTCTACATTTTTGTATAAAATCCAGGCTCCAATCTCCTCTTCTAATCAGCTTTTTAGATCCCGGGGTTATCGGTGTCCTTTTGCAACAGTTGTGTCACAGTTGTGAATAATTTATAACAGAATTAACTGCCGTTGCTAAAAGCAGTGATTGGGAGATTTTGGAGCACAGCCAAAATCTGACTTCAGTTCAAAGCAGAGAGTTTATTTTTGTCTGATAAGCAAAGTCCTCTCACAGCGGGTGTAATTATCACCATTATTACTGTCATCTGTATCTCGAACCACCTGAGTTCCTCACATATGGATTTGATGTGTTCTTATTGATCAATATGCTTTAAACTCCTTCTGTGCTGTCTTTTATGACCCTGTGTCCACTGCTGCTCGCCATTGGTTCTCAGTGAGGTGTGTGCTGAGATGGTGTGCATTAGTAAGGCAAAACAAACAGACACGCCCCACTCTCCTGGATTTAGGCAAACAATCAATGAGAGCACTCAGATAACAGCAGTGTAAGTGGCCCATTGATGTTACGATTAAATGAATGCAGGATGTAGCGGTGGTGGTACCAACCAAATATAAGCAGATTATTTTCTGTGCTGGAATTATTTTCAAATATACAAAACATCAGCCAAAACCGTCTGCTCTGTTCAGGCTTATAAAGCAAGAAGAGAAACAAATGAAACAAAAAGAAGAACAATGAAAAATGTAAGAGCACTGAAACAGCGGAGAAGAATTATCAGCAGTGCATTGTGACTGGCAAGTTGAAAATTGTACCCCGTGAATCTCAGCGTGTCTCCGTTTCATCACGTTGTACCTCGTCATGGTAACTTACCAGAAGTGCATCCGTGCCAGAACACTTCTGTCTTCTTCATTTCTCCGATTTGCTTCACTCCGGCTCCACCTTCATCTTTATTTCTGCCTTCGTCACCCTCTCTCCAGCCTTGTGTTTTGGCCTGGTCAAAACTGCAGTTACCCACCCCCCCGCCGCTCACTCACTCACTCACCCCTCCCTCCCTCCCTCCTTCATGCCTCTCCCTCAGGGTGTAGCAGCTATTGTTGTGCCTAATAAGGTTTATGGTATTACAGATCTCTGAAATTGGATTTTCTCACTCCACCAAAGCAGTGGGATTACGAGTTTAAGGCCGGGTGCGTCGGGGCACTAGTGACCTGTTTCTGAACTTCTTCTTTTTTCTGACTTCACCCTGAAGGTGGGCAGATCAAGAGATTGATGTGGCAATAGCTCTGGAGAGAGACAGGAAGACTGGCAGACTCCTTGTATCTGTATTAGTTACCTGGCAATTAAATAGATTCTGAGTCAGACAGCTTTTTGGCTCCTACGCCTGGATTTCTGTTTCTCTCACGTCGTCTACTCTCACACACTCCGCTGTGTTTGATCAAACTCTGATCTAATGAATCTTTTCATCTTCCTCGCCCGACTCCCAGACACATTTTCTACATCCAAAGTAGCCCAATTCATTCTCATCCTTAAAATCTGGCCGCTGGTGGAGAAATTGATTCTCAGCTATGTACAGGGATTTGAACTGTCTACCTCAAGCTTATGTTTAATGAACTGTGGGATTCCTTTACTAACTTTGATGTCCCGTCCCAAAAAACGACCTGATTACCAATACGAGCGATATTGTTCGGATGCGACTGAGCATTAAATTCTCCTGGAACTGAGCAGTAGTAGACAAAGGTGAGTAATGAAGAGGGAAAGCATTGGAGACGGTGAGCGTTATGAATGCAACATTGAGACGTTGGCAGGAAAGTGGTATTCATTAGGAGTGGTCCATAGTGCCGGCTTAGTGAACTCTTAATTGGGGCAGAGACGGAGCTGGGGATGAGGGATCAATAGGGGCAGAGCCGGGGTTTCAGCCCCCTGAAATCAATCAGCCTCCTGCCAGACGGGGAGAATGCAGCCAATCAAAGAAAACACGGCCTCACACAGCACTCATTTACCCTCCCGGTCAAACCTCATCATGATCGACAGACGGACAGCTCATTCAATCTTATCTCTGTCAGAGGAGGATGGAGTGGCCTGATTGCTCTTTTTTTCGACGTGGGAACAAGATCCTGTTGCTGGAATGCTTTCCAAATGCCATTACAACCCTGCCAAGGACAGGAACTAATAAAACATGATTCATTAACAAAGGAGAGCTCTATGGCAAGGAATATTAAATGAACCCGTGGCATATTTTTACTCATCTGCTAAAAATAGTCACTTTCTCCTCTTCCTCCTCTTCATCTTCCTCCCCGCCTGGGTAATAGCCGTCTTTCTGCCTTGTCTCTTTTTGATGTATCATCCTCTTATTCACATCAAGGACAAGGCCAGGTGTCGCATTTTCTCTCAGTTGCTCCACGCTTGTCACACTGCCTTGTCACCCACAGCCTTTTCCAATCCAGCTCCCTTCTTCCTCCCCCTCTCTCCGCTTTTTTATATTAAATCTGTCAGTCCTTTTGTTTTAGCGAGAGAAAAGGAAAGTAAATCACTTTTGCCATTTGCAGCCTGAGGTGTTTGCTGAATGCTGCAGGTTTATTTGGATGTCATCTTTGGCCAAATAGAATCCTGTCAAAACAAATGATGTCTCTCCTGGTTTGTGCTGTTGTCGCACAGCTGAAATTCCTCCTGCATGCTGTGTGCAAGGCTTCAAATGTGTTAAGCTATCTATGAATATGCTTCACAGTGAGAAGGAGGCCTTGACAGAGGTCTAAGGCTTTTATATTTCTCCAGATGAACAGACGGGCACAGGTGTCCGGCCCCACCACTCTTTGATGCCCATGAGTGGCTGGCAGAGCTGATCGGGCAGAGAGCAGCTGGGGTCTGGGACGTGCCTCGACGGTGAGATGCATTTGAGCTAATACGGTCCTCCAGTGTATTCTTAGCACATACCAAACGATGGCATTTGTGTGTGCATAGCCTCGTTGTTTGGTGAAAGGCGGTTTCACCAAAGACTACATACGACATATCCATCAGTAGAGGGAGATTAAGGCCAAGATTTCTCTGAGTGGTTATAGCGATGTCAAAGATGGTTTGACTAGGCTCAGATGTTTACACTGACATCTGTCCGATCAGAACATGGATCAGATCAGACAGCTCCACTGCTGTCAACATGTCTTCACAGGCAGACACAGAACAAGGCACTGTTGCTTAAAATATCCCGACTAGAGGGAGACTGTGGTGGAAAGAGCTGGGAGAAAACAGCTAGTTTTCTGTGCCTCATGAAGCAGAATAAGGATTTACTTGTCTGCCCTGACTGAAATGAGCAGTGCTTACACAGCTTTACAAACAGAAACTAATTATTATTACCATCGCTAAAAATGTTCTGCAGGGTGAGAAGTAATTATGTTGAAAATGTAGCAATTTCTACTCTATTTCTGGCACATGTATAATTAAACCACCTCCTGAACTACCGCCTGCTCCCTCAGGCGTTCCAACATCAGTCAAATATGGATTTTTACCTTGTGCAGAATACCATGTGGACTAACATGACGTATGCGGTTTTTTATCTCCACTTCCTACAGTTTGTCAGTGTCCTAAAACAGATGTGTCATCATCCTCAGGGGTAAGTGCGGGAGTGGCATCGGGACTCAGGAAAGGCTTATGGTGTTTGTTAGGGAGGACAGCATCAGGCAGGGAAGAAGCAGAATGCGTACAATATTCATAGATTTAGATATGAAACAGTTTGAGCTCCTAAGTGGAAGTTGCACATATTCCAAGTCTTCATCCACTCTGTGTTTGCTTACAGAACTTGGCAGTCGAAGGCTGATTTCTGTGGGAGAAGAGCACATCAGAGGCAGCTTGTTTAGAAAGGAGAGGAAGGTAAGGTCCTCACTCTGCCCTCTGATTTCTCTCTCACATACATAAGGAGAGTTGACTTGCATGTGTGGATGCACATTTCTGTTATGTTGCTGTAGGTTTCTGTATTTGTTTTTCTTATGTGAGCAAAGTGCCCGATTATGCAGAGCATTTTGCATATCTACCTATTTATCTACCTTTCAACCTGTCTGGGTATCACAGACTCAATTCTGATAATTATTCCCTGTTACCATGGATTCTACCGACGTCAGAGGAAACAAACGCAGCGTGCTACTGTTTACAGCGATGCTTTATTTACTGCGGGGGAAAGATATGTCACCTCCAGAGGCAACTCGCATCACATCACACTGCTTCAGTCTGTCTCAAACCCACATCTCTTCATTTGATCCACCTGCCAGTGATTAGCATCTCATTCTGCATGAAGAAAATAATGGTTGTTGTTGGCCCCCCTGAGTTAGAACTGATGATCAAAAGAAAGTTGTGGGTGTTGCGTTATGTTGTGTTGTGTGGACACAGCAGATGCCCCCTCAGTGGTCGTCAGTCCGAATGGTAATTATGAAGAAGAGGGAAAACAGAGTGAAATGGTAGATGCATAGAGATTTCATGAGAATTAACAAGAAAGCTATAGACGCTCAGAATTTTTAAATCAATAACAACGGGCAAAAGTGGTTTTGGGCTATCCTCATGTCCCCACTGAACAGGTAAACATGAGTTTTATGTTTGGATAAGAAGTTTTTAGTGAGCAATGAGTTTTTAGACGAATTGGAAATGCATTTGAGCTAACACTGTTTTGAAAAAGGCAATACATCTGCACCATGCGGACACGTGGCCACTTACCACTGTCCTGCTGGCTGTTTACCAGTAACATGCTCGTGTTGCTGGCTGCGATCGGAGCGTCCTGTGTGAACAGTTGGATGGCAGCAGATGAAGCAGCTCTCCACACATGTGGGCATATTATGTACACAGCTGTGCACAGCTGACTCATTATCACTTGCGAAAACATCAGTATGCACGACTGTAATTAACTCTTCTCTTTGATTAACAAACAACGGCGCGACAGACGACTCCTAATATAGCCCTGATAGTTGAGTGTTTTGTTTGTGGAAAAAGATAAAACATGTCTGGCTACAGTATGTAGCTATTTTCCTCATGGAGCACAACTTTGATTTTCCGTCTTCTTGAAACTTGCAAGAGCAGGCAGGTGAATGATATGTCTTTGGTGAAATATTCAGTTTGAGGACCCCGCTCCACTTCAAAACCCCAGCGTGAGGACAGCATTAACCTCTCCCTTTTTTCTCCTCTTCTTGTGGGCCTTCGGCAGTGCGGAATAAACCCCAAAATTCTTCAAGAAAAACTCTTCAAAGGAGCATTTCATCTGCCGAGACAAGACCTCATCAATTCGATTTTCTTCTTTTAAACCACTGTCCCCTCCACAGAGCTCTGGTTGTTTACGACCAGCCTGTTTCTTCTCCATTCCTTGCAGCTTGTTGCATAAGATGCTTTTGATTTCTTGTGAGTGACGAAGGGATATTTTCCCCAAACACTTAGTGAGATCGGCCTGTTGTTGGGGGCAATGTCTCCCTCAGACTGATTCCTCACATGTCCTCTGTTGAACATGTTGCACATTGCAGAGCTCTGGGAGCATTTTCCTGACCCTCATTTTCCACATCAGCGAGACAGGAACTGCCAGCTTGCTTTCATGCCCCGGCCTGCCTTCTGCCCACTGATTAGAAGTCAAATATTAAAGTGCTCTGTTGTGAGCTCGGCTTAATTGATTCTTTCCGCCGGGTGCACACAGAATGGGCTGACAGCAGGCGATACCAGGCTTTGTCAACATCGGGCACGCTGCCTGACGCTCAGGACGGCACCCCAATAAAGCCCCCTGTGAGCGTGCCAACCTGCGGCGCCACACACAGAGAGGCACTCAGCACTCCGGCCAAGCTTTATAGTAACAACACTGAAGCAGCTCATTCTTTTGCTGTGTGTCAGCTCCCTTCGGCCGGCTGGGAAGTCGGCTCTCGATTTGTAAAGAAGTAGCAGGCTAAGAAGAAAGCGTGTATTTGTGTGTGCGTCTCTACATATGAAACAAAATCTCTCTGCCCACTTGCATAACCACTCGGCAAACTTAAGCTATCTGGGGCGACGGTGCTGAAAAGAGGTCTCATCTGACTTCCAAAAAAGTATTTCTTCCCAGCTCTCCTGCCGTTCTGATAATTGCTTTAATAGGTTTTTAAAAAACATATTTAACAAGGAGCTTACCAAACACAGAATGGCAACAAGCCTGTCATCACTGCCCACACTGCAGAGACTGAATGGCATCTGGTGGAGATATATTATTCCGGTTGAAGCCTCATATTTTCCTTGTAACGTCTTACCCTCCCTTAACTACAATGTAGTGATAATTAATTGATTCTCTGCCGCAGTAAAAGAGTCTCCTCCATAGGCCGAGACCGTGTATCTCCGTCCCTCTTGTCTGCTTACACCGTGAATTTACTGGGCATTTTATGTGTGTCTTGAATTGGCTGGACTCCCCATTTATTTTTTATGCGTTTCTTCTTCACACGCAGGAGAGCACAACAGCCATCTTGGCGCTATACGACGCTCATTAAGTGCAGACATTCATCCACGACGCTTCTCTCATGAATCTGATTGACCTTCTCGCTCGGTGCGATCCACAGTAAAAGGTTATTAAACCCCCCCCCCCCCCCCTACCTCACCCACCCAGTGGTTGATAATCTGGCTATACCCCCCGTCCTGCCTGATGCTTAATGTTCCTTTTGAGCTGATAGGAAGGTGCAAAATGAAGGTTTGAAGGTGCAGGAAGGTGGGGGTGGGGGTTCAATTGAGGTCGGAGAGCAGTAATTACTCTATTTGTAAAATGGGGCCTCGCTCTGCGCTCTGACACAGCACTAATTGCAACGCAAGGGTGCCAAACTTGATCAAGGCGCTGCTAATTCATGTTTAATAAAAGAGAGAGGGGGAAAACTGTGAAAGAAGGTGAAGAACAGGGCGAGCAGGTTACCAGCGGGGGTGTGTGGAGAACATTTTGGAAGTGGACATAATCACAACATGTATCCGTTTCAAGCAAATGCAGTTCTTGCATTTTCCCCGTTACATTTCAGTGTGACCAATCGGCAGCGCAGTGCTGGAACGGCTTCAGTGGTACAGGCGCACTGAAAAGTAATCACAATGTCCTCTCCCCCGAGTACTGGGCAGGGTTTCATTTCCACCTCCATACTCCCAGGAGAGGTCCAGGGGCTGAAGGGGGGGTCATGATCACAACACAGGGAGGGGGCCGACATCTGGCTGCCTGTCTGACAGAAACCTAATGGGGGGCTAATAGGAGAGAGTAACATCTCAGAGACCACTGCTGTGACCTTGACATGAGCCTGTGGAGGAGAGGAGGTGAAGTACCATTACAGAGGGTGACTGGCAGGTGGTTTGAATATATTTGTATTTTATCCATTACCTCTCTTTCTGTTTATTTGAACTTCACTTACCTCCTGTGTCCAGTGACCCTACAGAGAACTTCAGCATAAAGCAAGGAGATGTTCTCTCTCCTGTGTGTGGGTGGATGATTCAGTTTGCATATGCACGGGTGGTGCCTGCGTCAGAATAAATGTTTGAATATTTGTATTTATTTTTACTTTCCTCACTTTGTTGTTATTTCTCTTTACTCTTTGAAATGCTTAAAGCGCCTTTCTGTTTGTACGGCTGATAAATTATTGAGAATATACTTGATCTTTTTATTACGACAGACTAAAACTGAAAGATTTTTGAACACTCCAAGTCGCTTTCAAGTTTCAATGATGTTCTTGTAAAGTCAACAGCCAGTAGTATTTGATGACTTTGGAGACTGATGAGTCCCTACACAGTTACGTTTTGTTTCAGCTGTTGCAAACCAACTTAATCACCACTGCAATCTGAACCTTTTTAAAGCTCAAGGGAAGAACATAGGTAACCAAAGCTTTTGCACGTGACTATTTTAGTAACAACTCATTGCAACCACTAAGATTCCTCCTGACATTTTAAGGATTTCACTTTTGTACTTGAGATTGTCTTGTGCTTGTGACTACAGATTGTGGGCAGTATGTCTGTCTCAGTGATACAGATCATAGGGGTCAGGTCTGCAGGGACAGCCAATGAGCATCACACACAGTAAAGGGAGAGCCACTACAGCCTGATCAATCTGAGCTCTCATTAAAAGGCTGCCAAGCCATTTGCAACCCGATACAATATCAATATTGTGGTACCACCGAGAGACCTCCAGAGCTGTTAGGCAAGCCGCTGGCAGCTTAACTGTCATTACCGGGAAGGCAACATGCCAGAGACCCCCTTCATGGACCACTTAGGCTCCCCCCTTGGTCCCAAACACAGGTCAGTGCAGACAGATGGGCTGTCTGGGCATCTGTCCAGGGGACGAGGCAGAGAGAGATGGATCCCGACCTGTAGAGGAGGAGACAGCTTGCGCTCTCTCACAATACGGAGGGAAGATGTGGGCTGTGTGTGTTGTTACAGTTACACATCACTGCGGTTTCACCTGAGGCTTGTTTGTTGGCCGTGGGTGTTTTTCTGTCTTGGTCTTTTACCATGCATGATTACAAGAAGCATCGCACATGTTTGTTTTCAAACCGAACAAAAGACAATGAGTTTTCAGTTCCAAACACCCTCTCTGAACTTTGTAGGTGTTGGTTTAGATACAGGAAATCTGCTCTGGGTTTTGGCACATATCCCAAGGTTCCTGCTGGGAAAACCCACGAGCACTGAATGGCCCTCTGTGGTGATTTCTGAGCAAAGCAAATGGGGGGAATATAAGTGGCCTTACATAGAAAAGTCTCTGTAATTCAGATCATTGTGCAAAGGTCTCCCCTCTGTGCTCCGGTCTTAACCCCCTGTGTGGTTCCGATAGGGGAGGGAGGGATCAGTGTGTGCGTCTCTAAACCCCCAGTAATCCGCCGACAAAAGGGCGAGGAGAAAGCCAGCCAGAGAGAGGTAGGGGGGTT